CGGCATCCTTCCACCTCAGCCTTCCGAGTAGCCGGAATTACAGGCGCGCACTACCACGCCCGGCTGATTTTTTGATTTATTGTAGAGATGAGGTCTCGCTGCCCAGGCGGGTCTCGAACCCGCGGGCTCAGGCAATCCACTCACCTCAGCCTCCCAAAGGCGGGGGATTACAGGCTGAGCCACCGAGCCCGGCCATACACTTAACTTTTAACTGCTCTTTTTCCTCTTGTCTTTCCACATCAATCGAGTCTTCCTTGTGAACAGAGATTTTGTATCCTAGATATCTTGCTCTCCAATGTAAGTCAGTCTATGGTATATTATATACTAAACAGTCTGATAAATGCTTGTTGGATGAATATATTATGTGTAAAGAATATCTCGCATTACAACTTCCTTAATCACACATTAAGATTATTATACTAAAGTTCCATAGATCTTTACAAATTAATTATGTCTTGCTTGCAAGTTGAGTTGGAAGAAAATCAAGATGACAGATTATGACTAATATTTACTTAGAGTTATATAGTTCATATGGATAAGCAGAACATTCTCAAAAAGGTATTAGAATTCTTTCATTTGAAAGGCTTTTAAAGTTGAACCTCCATTATAAAATATAGATAAAACTATAGAAGAATTTAGAACTTAGAGTAAATCCCTGGATATTAGGCTTAGAAGGAGACATTTATTTAATACCTATGGTGTGCCAATCATCACAAGGTTAATAATTTCACATAAATGATACAGCAAATATTTCTAACATCTTTTACCAAGTTAAGTAATTCTTACAGTGGCTATTTTATAGTCAGTACCACAGTGGATCAAAAGTTTAAAAACTGTATTCAAAATCTTACATTCAAGCTTGGGATTTGAATCCAGGTCTATCTGACTTCTGCATCAAAATGCTTTAAGAGGTTGTACAGACTTTATTGTTAGAATGGTAGCATTTAGAATTAAGTTAAATAACAGGACAATTGTGGACAAATAATTTAAACTTCCTTGGTCTCAGTTTCTCATTGTTATAAATTTGCCCTATAGTCTCTAAAGCTCTTTATGACTCTAAACTTTTGTGGAAAATTGACATTTATTATTATTTTTTTAATCACATTTAAAAGTCTTATGGCACAAAGAGTCAGTTGAAAAAGCTGTGCACATTAATGAGCTACGTATTAGGTAGGGATTAGTAGGGATTAATTAGAGTATAGTAGGATTAGAATGAGAAGGGTGCAGAAATCATCAACTTTTTCTTTATATATCTCTGTGTTTTGACATAGTAACATAGTTATTACATTTGTAATAAAATAAATCGAATAAATAGAGGGAAAACCATACCATTTTTAGTAATGAGTTGCCTAAGGCAATCGATCTCTTTCATTATTTATTAAACACTGGTTACCAAATTATATAAATCTCAGAAACTTTGTCGTTTTTGATTGTGCTAGGTTATGAGATTCTGTTTCTACAATACCTTTTTGTATTCTACTCTAGATATATATCAGTGTTAGAAAAGAGTGTCATGTGTCTAGAACCACATCTAGAATCAAATGAGTTGAGTACTTATACTTACTTTCATTTATTTGAAATTAAAAATAGTCAATGTCAAAGTATATACATATTTTAGAGACCACAAAGCCATTAATAAATGTACTGTACTCTTAATTGCTATTTGATACCAACAATAATTTTACTAGACTCACAAGCTTTTTACTTCTCAATTTTGTGCAACAAAATATAAGACAAAAGTCTAGAATAACACATCTAAGAAAGTTGAATGTAATCATTATAATTAAACTTTTCCTTATGTTCTAAGACATTTAGTTTAAATGATCGGATATTCTTATGCATATTAGAACTGTTCTTAACCCATAACCTGGAAAGAACTAAATACAACAAAATGCCAGTACACAAAATATTCTTAATTAGATCAGTTGAAACCTACTTTCCACATACCAACTTCTGGAACCCTTTGACTCTTGTGGGTAGAGAAGTTGGGTCACTGCTAATCACTGAGATATCTTCTTTCAAATTGAAAACTAGCTATATTCTTTTGTCTATAAGTTTCTTAGTACCTCATCACAGAACTTGATTAGATAAAATGGGAACCACTTATAGCAAGCCATGAATATGATAGACTCCAAGGCACAGACTGCTCTTACATTTCAGGAAGACATTTTACATGTATTCATACCTTTGGAGTTCAGATCTGGTTTGTAGAACATTCTAATTAAAACTAGCTATTGGAGCAAAGAGAATCCAAGGAGAGATTAAAATTAACTACAAGTTACCTTAAAATATGACATAAGTATAAAAGAAAAACTGAAAAATACCATGTAGGCTGAAAAAATAAAGTCTCTACAATGGACTGGAATTAAAAAAACTCAGTTTTCTAGGGAGTCCTGTAAGTAAAAAAATCTAATGAGCAGAGAACAGAATGGGAACCTTGCTTGACAACAAGTAGGCCCAATGCATTTTCTTAATATGAAGACCACAACTAAGAAGTATGTTTCTGTAGTCTTTACAGTTCCACATGCTAAACAAATAATTCTGGATTATATCGTTAAATGGCTCCAAATACAGGTTAATAAGTCCCCCACCAAAAAAAAAAAAAAAAAATGAACACAATTTAAAAATTAATTTGAGACATATATTCTATAAACGCAATTGTTCTTCTCAGAAATAAAACAGAACTATTTAAGAGCAAAAAGTAAAAGATGTTAAACATGCCCCAAATATTTTTTGTGAGGGAAGAAAGGTTATTGTGAAACTCTATAGCTACTGATCAACAAACCAATTGACCATTTGTTGACAACAGTGCTAATCATGCCGACTAGAATTATATTGTTGTAAATCAAAGAGAAATTTTAAAATATATTTTTCCCACTCAAATTTTAATTTAGAATCTACTAAGAATGTAGTATGAAAAGTCAGTATTCAATAAATATTGGGGGAGAGTAACTCATACCTTAAATTCCTCCAAGATTTTGTAATTTTTCCCATGATATTCACAAAAGTTTTTCACTTCTTTGCACTCAGGACAGCATCCATTGTGTTCCACTTTAGTACACTTTGGGTGAATTTTAGGGCATTCTGGCTGGTCACAAACAGGTCCATCCAGAGCGCAGACACATGGACAGTTGGAATGCCCTGGGAAGAATCGTTCTCCCAACTTGTATACAAAGCCGCTGTCATCCACACACCCTTTCCCTCGATAGTCATCAAAGATCAGATTGTCATTACTGGAGATCTGGTCACCTTCATCAGCAGGATCGTCTTCATGACTGATGGCAGCAGAAGTGACCAATCCAGGGATAGCCAACAGAAGTATGCAAGCTTCATGAATATGAAGAGCCATCCCCCTCCTCAAAGACTTCTGGATGTGCTCCTAATATTAAATACTCTCAGCTCCTTCCATGGGGATACAAGAGGGGTAGGCTGAAAATAAATATTTAAAAAGAATAATTTGACATATATAAGAAGAATATAGATTCATTTAAGTCTATGCTCTTCAACTGTTTGTTTGGGATTGATTTGGAAGATACTATGACCCCAAATATACTAAGTTCATGTAACTATCTTTACTTTGTTGTGAAGTTTAGAGAGTTGATAGTTGTCAAAATATACATTAAAAATTGTCCCTATGGAATTATTTTATATAGGAATCTTCAGATTAAATTTATCTTCTGAATTTCAAGGATTGGCTTTGTCTAAATTGTAGAAACTGGTGTTACTGAGCCCCAAAAGGTGATAACAAGTAACTACTTACAAATAACTCAAGAATATTTTCTATTATTCTTTAAAGTGGACTAGTCAGTGATAGGACATATGTTATAATTATCTGTTTCAAAACTCAGGATATTAGTGAGAAAAAAATCTATTCTAAAAAAATGCATAAACCAACAGTCCAATGTAAATTATAGTTAGAATGGAGCTAGTATAAAGAATTTCTTACTTATTTATGTCCATAATTGAAGAACAATGATGGTCTCAACATGAGTTACTTGTTTCAGTGAATATAGATTTAGATTTTTAGAATATAGCTAATAATAAAAACAGCATAACTATTCCACAGTGGATAAGAGAAAGAACATTTAAAATAATAAATACTATAAGAGAGCTCTATGTTGTGAAAAGTTGTTACAAACATATTCATGTATTATTGGCCACATCTTTATTTTACTCAGGAAGTAAGCTCCTAGTGGGCAGGAAAGATGTATCTATAATTTTTTACAGCAATTTGAGTCTATTATTCATGCACTATTATTTGAATTAAATATTTCAATATAGCATGAATTCCATTCACAAAGTCTTGAAAACATAACTCTTGAAATACCAAAAATATTAGCATTTAGGCAATTTGCACAATGATGCCAGCATAAAACCATTTATGAAAGTTTTCTAAAATAGTAATGGAGCATTACTGTTCATAGAAAATGTCTTATATTAATTTGGTGACATTAACTCTTGTAAACTACATTTAGTTTGGTGTGAAGTGTTGGTAGTGGGCTCTAATATACATATTTAGAGTAACTAACTCACACAAAGGTTATGGGGAAACTGTGACTTTAGGGAGTAATAGATAAGGAACACTGTTGTCAGATAGTTCATTTGTTTATTTAAGTGCTATTGGCTGCATGTCAATATCACTGAGATTGTATATAGGACATTCTCAGATCACTTATACATGTCATTCATTGGTTTATTTTAGGTTATATTAACAGCAATGATAAACTATCTCTTTTCTAGCATACACAGATGATAATTTTAAATAAGATGAAAATTACATTAGGACACTTCATAAGCTATTATGTTATATTTGCATTTTAAGGTAGACATGAAAATTCTAGTAATAGTAAAATGGAAGGTAGTGTGCCCTCTTTTAACAGAAAACTGATGTTAGGATTCCTCTGATATTCTCAGATATTAGAATTCTTTTTGGGTAGGCAATAATAAAGGAGATGAATTTCTTTTAAAATATGTCAAAAATAATGAGTCATGACAGAACAAGAAAATGCAAACCTATAATTCTACTTGAGAATCTGGAAGCTCCCTTTGACAAAGCATTTTTCTCTCAAATTACTACAGAGATCACAAACATAACAGAAGATTCTGAAAAAGCATACATATAATTTACTAATTAAAGCATGCATTTGTACATCTCTCACATATTTAGAAAGTTTATCTTGGAAGAAAAGGGAGATACTGGGCTTCCTTATAATATTTCAGCACTTCCAGCAATATCTATCAATACATGCAAGATAAGCCATATAAAATACACATATGATTCTGCCTCAAAAGAACACAGACAGAAAATGATCTCTTTGTAAGCTACAGGTAGGCATTAATGTGTCAGGTTATGGCAGATATAAACTTAAAGGTAAAAATAAAAATATAATATCCACTTTACATAAACATTAAGCATGCTTTTATTATATAAAAGACGTTTTAAAATTTGCATGGAGGAAACAAGATTATATTCTTAAAATAGCAAAGTTCTTAGGCTATTTTTTCAAAAAACAACCTCCTTCCTAATTGAGCTGCCCTTCCTGCAGTATAAGACACTATATATTTAAGAGAAGAAACCTTAGAGAAATCAAATAACATGCTTAACTGGAGATTTTTAATAAGAAAGAAAACACTACTAACTGAAGATCACTTCCCAGCTAAACTTTCCCCCCACTCCCATATTGCTACCTCTGATTTAAAATGACTGCATCTATTTCTTTGAGAAAACAAACATAACTCATGTCATAAGATACACTTACCTAATCACTCTGGAGGTTAATGGTGGTGATAGGGGTCACAGCCCAATATGAACTAAAAGGTCAGGTATGTTTTAATAAAGCAGTTCCACTTTAATTACCCAATGAATACATTTTCAGGCATGAATTAAAGGCAATCCATTCTCTCTACTTCCCATTTCAAAACCACAGTCAAGAAGCAGTCTCCCGCCCTTCCAGAAAGAAACCCAGCAGACACACATAAGAAATTTGCTTTGGACCTGTCTTCAGAATTCAAAGCGAGAAGCAGTGCTGGTCCTGTAGAAATCCAGACCCCAGTAGTAGAATCATGTTGAACTTATTTTTAGCATTTTCTTAGATCCTTCTACGAAATTTCCCGGTTGATTACGCCTCCTCCACACATGAGTTCACTTACACAGTGTTTGCTACGGCAGTGGAGGTGATTTGGCTAGGCTCTGAGGATCACAAACAGCATGCTGTAGCTGAAAGCCCGCTCCGCCGGCAATGCCATCGCCATCGCCCACCATATGTTGCTTGAATCCCCTCTTGAACACCAGAAAATGCTAACTGTGGACGTGAAGGAAAGGAGCAACTTTAGCTGGGTTTCTGCATCACTGCGAGCAGTTTGCAGACTGCTGATTTGGAGCTCATTCTGCCGGCAGCCGGGAATTCCTCAGCACCACGGACAGCGCCAACAACTGGCTTCTGAGCCCAGCTCTGTCGAAATCCCCGAGATGCTTCTTTAAACCAGGCTGGAGTGCTCTCTAAGCAGTCGCACTTTACACAGCGGATGCGTGCACTAGGCGGGGGGGGGAAAGGCATTCTACGTGCGAGATACTTATCTGCATTGAAATTACAATACACAAATTTTTCTTTAGAAATGTGTAATTGCGCCTAACGCATTCTTGGATGGGCTGCAGCGATGAAAGTTCCGGAAGACACTTACTTGCATTTAGATTTAAGGCGATCTGCAGTCCCCGATTATTATGAATAGATAAAGCATAATCATTGTCAAGGAATCTGTGGAAATGTATGCTCGTCGATTCTATTTGACTCTCTGGTTGCAAGAAGACTTTCCCTGCGCTGCATGATTAAACTTCAGGTCTTTCTGCAGCTTGGATTTGATTAAAAAAGAAAAAAAAAGTAGCCAGGTTTCCCTGCAGTTTGTTCCCTAACATTAAAAATCAATCTCCTGTAATTCATCTAGTCTGTCATTAGGCGTCATTGTAAAGCTGTTTCTTCCAAACCTCTACTAGAGATGCTGTGTCTCCAAATTCTTAACAAAATAGAGAGGAAAAAAAAGACCCAGACACAAATGAATGAGCAGAAAGTTATTATTTTTTATTAGTGACAGTATGAGCACTAAAATATATGCCCAAAGCATGTTTTAAAGCAAACTGTAAATGTTATCTACTGGCATAGCCAGTTATTTGCTGGTTTGGCCCTACACGAGGCATTTTCAAACCTTAAAGAGAATGCCCTCCGCAGTGGGATATGCTGACTGTCAAGACCACATTCGAACAGTGCCGTCAGAACCTCCGGAAAACAAACTCTCCCCATCGTGAGAAAACACGACCGTGTGCGCCTCGCTCTCGTGGCCCATCAATTTGTGAATCTGTCCAGATTTCAGATCTAGCAAATGGATAACCCCATTATTGCTTGCCTGAGCTAAAACTCGACCTGAAAGAGAGAGAGAAAGAGAGAGAGAGAGAGAGAGAGACAGACAGAGAGAATAATTCAAAGTTTTATTTCAAGAATTCATGGTTTATAAGCAATGGAGCATTGTTTTGGTTCAACAGACTATAATTTTCTATTAGATGCCAGTTATTAAATATGAACTAGTGCCTGTCAGTACAGGAAATAATTTGAGTACAAATTAAAACACATCAATGATTAGACTGTACAATTTTAGATGGGGAAATAAAGCTTAATACTTTACCCCCTTTGTATGTAGAGGCCATCAAATGCCCTACTAGTCTCTTTATATTTGTTATTGATAAGACATTTTGAGAAGAGGAAGTTAAAAGCAACCAAGCAAAGCGACTTTCTTTTTCAAATGAATTATGTTTAAAAAAGTTTTAGAAAGCACACTGTTCGAAATTTTTCTATGGCAAATATATCTGTATATCTTATGGATGATTTTTATTTAAAATTTGTATTCTATTTTAAGCATTTATCATAATTGTGCTAAATCATTGCTTAAACTGTAATAATATACATTTCTGCTTTAAAAATCATGGTACTTATCAACTCTGCAAATTTTCTTTGGAGCTGTAGTGACAATAAATACTGCCACTTCAAAATTACTTGGGCTTTTATTACTTTAACTTAAAATTAAAATTCTGTTAAATTAATTTTTTGATACATAAGATAGCAGAATACAGCAGAGGATATTCACATAACTTTGTTATCACATATAAATATATATATTTTTTATTTTTATTTTTTGAGAAAGCAGGATTTATTGAGAGGACAGAAAAGTTCCCACAGTAGGAGGGGAACCGAAGGGGTTGCCCTGTTATCACGCATTTTTAGTGAATCATTTCCTCAAAGTGAATATAAATCAGAAATCCAATTTTAACTAATACTTTTATTAAAGAAGCCTAGTAACAAACTATCAAGGGACTTGGAGGCAAGTAAAAGCAATAGAATATGCTTACACAAGATGAATACTTAGGATAAATAAGTATGACATTGAATCATCCATTGAATTATTTAATCTCTCTTAGAAGACATATTATCACCCCAGTAATAATAATTAAAATTTACTAAACTCTTTCAATGTGCTGAATACCACATTTATTGCTTGATGTGGGTAGTTCTATATGATCCTTACAATAACCTAATAGTAAGGAAAATACTACTAACTCTATTATGTGAGTGAAGAAATAGAGGCTTGGAAAGGCTAAGTAACTTGCTCACAATGGTACCCTGGGCATGGAGGGAGCCAGTATTTAATCACAGTACTTCGAATCCAGAGTCTGGGCTTTTAGTCATTATGTCTTCCACATCCAGCATAGTATTGTTATCAATGATACCTTCTTGACAGATTTTAGGTAGGTATATATTGTGAAAATGGAACTGGTCCATTTCATAATAAAAATTTTAGAATAATAACATTATTAAAGCTGAAGTGATTCATTTAGTCACAAATTTTACCCCCAATTATCATGAATATCTCTAAAACAGAGAAAGGTTATAAAAGTAAAGCTAACCATGATAAATACGGCCTATTTGCAAACCTTTGTAACTACTGGGTTTCTTCATCTAGAACAAAGCCTGACACAGCAAAGATCTTAAGGATGGATTAGAGTGTCCAAAGCAGCAGATGTGAATATTTATTATAAACCTTCTTCTACTAAGTCTTTGCTGACAGAGGCATTACATATGGATTTCACTTCCAGTCTCACTCTATAGGCCATTGCTGTTTGTGACTTTCCTGAGAATCAAATAACTTTTTCTTGTAGTCTTTATGTAACAACTGGAGTGGGGAAAATGTTATTCCCTATTTTTGAAACCAAACAACACCAAAACTCATAAAGAAAAATGGAGGGGATTTAACTTTTAATCATTATTCAACTCTATAAAAATCATAAATGGAAGTATTTATGTAGGCTCTGGTAAATTTAGAAAGTTTAGTAAGATAGAGAAAATGAAAATATTGGAACCTAATGATAGCATTATATAATTCAGCAGCACCATGCCTCAGGTGTTTCAGAAATTTGTGTCTGCTAGAACAGATTTGAGTCAGTAAGTTTATGCCGAGGATTTTCAGGTTTACCTGAACTCATTTTAGAAGACTGCCAGACTGTATATATATCATAACAAATTCCTAAAACGAGTATAAATTTATAATCATGTTCAACTTTATTTAAAGTATATTGGATTATTGCATAGCATATAATGTGTGACTTAAAAATTAGTTTTGCTGGGAAATGGGAACGCTGAACTCTTTCTGGGTTAGAAAATTTTCAAAATTACATACCAGGATATGCCAGTTACTACATCAGTATATTGGTATCTAGTTGGTGTGAAACGAGGTGGGAACACTCAGAAACAAAAAACAAAAACACCACAGTCTGATTACGGATAGTATCTCTAGAAAGTGGAATGTTTACAGAGATGTGCATGGGTATCTTCTTAAATATCCTGGTGATTGGTGATAAAAAGCAAACCCGAATGCAAATCACTTGTCATCTGAATGTCAGAGTCCTAATGATAAATTTAGGAAGAATTGAAGATGGATCTACATCAGAACCTCACAATGGGGTGAAAAATATAGTAGGAATACAATTTAAAATTGTGCCATGATAATATAGGTAAAATTTGCACTAATGATGTTCATGTTAAAATTAATGTCTCTTTGAAACTGTGAAATAATTTAAAAATTGTCTATTTTTACTTTGCATATTTTGCTAAAATTTTAAAAACAAATTCTAACCGACATAGTTGTCTCAGAACATAACATTTCTAAATAGATTATTTAAGATGTTATTTAGCCCAGTATTTTAACAAGGAAAATTATAACAACTTATAAAGGCAAACATTCCATAAAAATAACATGGATTACACTATATGTCTAAAGAACATAGAACATAAAAAAAGTTTAGCTTCACTAATCATCAGAGAAATGCAAATCAAAGCTACATTGAGATACCACCTAATTCCAGTAAGAATGGCCATCATTAATAATACAAAAAACAGCAGAAGCTGGTGAGGATGCAGAGAAAAGGGAAAGCTTCTACACTGTTGGTGGGAATGCAAACTAGTTCAACCTCTTTGGAAAACAGTGTGGAGATTCCTAAAAGAACTAGAAATCGTCCTTCTATATGACCCAGTAGTCCCCCTTATGGGAATATACCTGGAGGAACTTAAATCATTCTTCAAAAAAATACCTGCACCTGCATATTTATCGCAGCACTATTCACAATAGCAAAAACATGGAACCAACCGTGCCGTCCATCGAAAGTTGCCTGGATAAAAAAATGTGGTACATATACACAATGGACTATTACGCAGCTATAAAGAAGAGCAAAATGATGGTCTTCACAGCGATCTGGATAGACCTAGAGTCTATAATACTGAGTGCTGTATCACAGAAATGAAGAACTGAGTACCACAGGATCTCACTCATAAGTGGACCCTGAATGTTTACCAGGATACTCTAAGAAAGAAATTGGCAGTAACGAGTAACTTCCAGGGGAGGGGTAGGGGAAACATAACATCAATAAGGGTACCTGATCTCAAATCAGACAAAGTGGGAACCAAAGGGAGTCTCAAATTTTACCTGTATGGTGACCACTTGTACACCTAATCCTGAATTATACCCAACATCTTTAAAATAAAAAGAACATGGAGTATAGTCTAACCACATTGATTAAAAATAAAATAGTCAAAGTTGATTTTTAAATAAAATACATGTATTTATACATTTAAATATTTTTACATCTGCTATGTAAAAATGATTTGCTTCTTTTCCTTTGTTACATTCAAGTTATTAGGAGGTTCAAAATTTTCATAGAATGAGAAAGAAATAAACAGTCTGGATAGAATATTATTTAGTTTTGTAATTGCTATTCTTTTATATTAATAACTCAGTATATATCAACAAGGAGTGACCATATCTACCTCTTCATTCCTATGTCTCTTAAAAATGTAATGAATTCTTGTTTTTAATTTGCCAAGATTTTAGAATATTTTCATATTAAGTAAATCAGTATCTTTTTTTGTTGACCAATAGGGTTCAAGGAAGGACATGTGTTGCTATCTATTTTACTCT